TGCAGCTAGTGACGTCCGACATCGCTAGTGTATATGCATAAAGGCAAAGGCCATGTATGTAGCCCGCGGAGGGGGACCAAGGCCCAGTCGAACCCAACGAACCTGACGGTCCTGTTTACGCCCACCACACCCACACCTGTCGTCCGTCGTCGCCTATCTGCTGCATCTGCAACATCGACGTGGCAGGCCGGTCGCGGGTCATGTACACATACATACAAAACTCGTGCGGACCAGGTACCGCCGTTTGGCCGGGTGAGTCTGCCTCTCTTCCTCTCTCTCGCTTTCTCGCAGTCCCGGTTTTCTGAGATCGGAGAATTAAAGTGGCTCCCCATGGAACGAACGACCGGGGGCCTGCCGCATCGTGCAGTAGATCGGAGCCCGAGCCGCCATGTCATCCCATTCCCATGCTAGGCGGCCAGGGGAAGGGAAAAATCGAATTGCGGGATTGTGTCTCTTGGGTTTAACCTGGGCCTAGTCTAGCCCATCCAGCCGACCCCCAGGACCCCTGGTCTCCCGGCGATGAGCCCCGGATCCATGGTTTGCCGCCGCCGCCGCCGCCGCCGCAGTCGCCGTCCCGTGCCACCGCTGGTTTTCCCAGGCCGCTACTTGAGTGCATACATGCGTACCGGGAACAGATCCTTGGGAAAGCCGTGCTGTAGCTCCGTCTTGACGAGGCGCAGACCCGCTTGCTCAAAGAGGGCGCGGAACTTGTCATCCACCCTGTTTTGCGTTTTGCCATGCGTCAGTGTCCTGTGTATGTAGGTATATGTAAATGTATGTGCAGGTGTCTTGCATGCGCCGCAGGCCATCCAGTTACGTGGGCCATTGAGAGTTATTATTGACCGGTGCGGCGGCAAAAGTTTCAAACAACATGACGGTTGGTGCCAGAGGTTGGCGACAAAGAACCAGGGTAGGGTAGGGAATCGGGGAGGAAGATGATAGGCTTGAAAGTAAACTCACCTCGTCACACTGCTGTCAATATCGTCAAATAGATCGACACCGCTAGTGCTCAAGTTTTCCTTGACGACGATGAGGCCGTCATTGGGGGCGACAACAGCCTTACAACGACGCATGTAGGCTACAAGCTGGTCATCGGTGAGGTGGCCGAGACACCATTGGTTCCAGACGAGGTCGTAGGCGGTGCCATCAAGTGGCTTCCACTCTTCAAGGCCAATGTTGAAGACAGAGCCGACACCAGACTTCTCCTGGAGAGCGGCGGTGAACTTCGCTACGGGTTCGACGATGTCAACTTGTTCAGCTACATCGAGGAGGAACCCCTCTGTGATACGGCCGATGCTGGGGGTTGGGGGTTAGCAAGGGTCTGCATGACACGGAGACTTGAACCGGGGAGACAGGGATGTTGCAGCAAGTATCCGTACACCACGGTGAGAGGTTCCGACATGAGATGCAAAAAGCAAGACAAGGGTTGAAGAAACGGGTCAGGAGAGGCAAATCATTAGCTCGGCCCGCTCGTGCAGTGTTGCGGTTGCGGTTGCGGTGGGTAAGGGTAGGTAAAGGGTAGAAGTGAGACAGAGAATGGAGGAAACTGAGCATGAGTAACTGCAGAAGGAGGCAAAGGGGGAAAAAAAGGTTGGGAGGCGGTGAGTTGGAGATAGCGGTGAGAAACGCCGGGGGGCGTGTACGAATATGAAGTTTGCGAGGTCGAGTCTGAAAATCAAACGCAAGGCATGTCCGATGTACGGGTACACCGGACGGAAGAGAAGAAAGTCGCAAAGAAAAACTCACCCGGCCCCGCCTTCCAGAGCGCGGCTCACCGTCCGCAGACCGCTCTTCGAGCCAATGCCCAGTTTGGCGAGAAAGTTGCGCGAGCCCTGCAGGTCGACCTTGCTGATGTACGGGAAACCACCCAGCATACCGTTCACGTCGGCGTCGATGCCCTGCCAGTAGGAACGGCCATCGGCGGCGCTGATCTTGGCGTCTGGCGGCGGTGTGGCTGTCTGTCCTGCTGTTGCTATTCCTGCTGGTGCTGAAGCTGCGGCAGCTTCTTCGTCACCGGGCATTGTGACGCAACGCGGGCAGCGACACGCAACCTCACTTGCTCGTCTTTCAACAGGTGTGTGTGGTTGATGAAGTATGTGGCTCGTTGGCGGACAGCGTGGTAGTGAAGAAAGGATCGGAGGTTGCTCGGCTGTGTCACATTGTTGAAGAATATGTGCGCTGCATCACAGCAGCAGCGGTTGACGTGGATGCGAAGATGGAGATGACTCGGGTTTGTGCATTTTCACTGGATTAGCAGAAGTGACGTGTGTTTAGGTGCATACAGAAAGCTGGTATCCTACTAAAGGACAAGTATCATTTAAGCATGGTGAAGAAAGCTCCTACCATGTGAGATAAGATAAGAAGATGCCGATAAGGCTTCTGAGACCAAGGAAGCCTGGGAAGATAAGAACCTAGAAAGTCGTCATCCATCACGCGAAAAGAAGCTTTCAGTCTAAGGTTAACCTCCCAACTCTATCATGACGGACTGCACCGGGCCCTTCGTTGCCCACTGCGCGCAATTAAGTTGCCATGAGAATGCTTGCTGAACTATCTGCACTAAGGGAGTTTCTTTTGCCTTTTGGTCTTTATATCCATCTGAACCTCCAACCAACCTAAGTTAATCTCAGCTCCTGCAGCTGTCAGCCTCTCCCGGAACCCTACGGAGCACCGGCGGAGGAAGCGGAACATAATCCCACTTCAACATCACGACACGCCTATATGACGACCTCGTCTGATGGCCCGTTGATTGCCAAGTCAGCCAGTGCTGTCTGGAAGACTTCTTTTCCTTTCATGTCCAGTCTGCATTGTGGCACCGCCTGCGCCCGAACACACACCTTTATGTGAACGACACTTTGCAGGATCGTTCGGCCGTTATGCGCATCAACTTCCAGGCAGCAGGACGTTGGAGGATTCAAAGGGACGATTTCTTGACTACATATTCCGGACGGCCTTGGTCTTCTCAACTTCTGCAACCAGTCAAGTGACTGTGCTTTTCCATTCGGAAACATTTGCGACGAAGCGGGAAATGTTTTGCCTGCTAGCCGGCCACCAACAGTAAAAGTCGCCGTACTCAGCCACACCAGTCCATGCCGGCCTCGTTCCCAATTGCCTCATGGACGATGTCAAACAGACTGGCCTTATCAACAGACGAGGCGGTATTTTCTGAAATGGGTTTCGAGTGGAAATAGTTCGTCGTCCCGGTGGGAGCGATTGGGTCACCTCTTGGGATCCGGCTGCGACATTGCTCACCTCGTCTCCCAGAGTCCCCACGACTCCGGCAAAACTTGTCTCTGAAGCGAGCGGCTCATGTCTAAAATTTCCAAAATAGGATCCCGAGGGGCCGCAGTGTGGCCTGTGTCTCGAGTTGCAAACGATTATTTCCAAATACCTACCAACTGATCTGCGATGGATCCAGGAATCCGGGGATGCCAAGAGTTGTAACCAGCATGCAACCGATATCAGGCGCGAGAAAGATTATGGAACAGAGGATCTGCAGATTCCCTGGAGGACATCGTTTCCTCAGCCTACAGGGCCTCACCCTGAACGCCTCGGCCAAGGCCGGTGCCTTTCTCGACCTCACGACATCGACATCATGTGATACTCCAAGAAAAACACAGCCCAGTTGAGGTTTTGCGTGGTGCGGTCCAGGCTTTTTTGCGGCAAGGGGCCTTTCTGGGCTGAGCGCAAAGCCCAGCCGTAACCAGGCACGCCAGGTTTCTCCTACACACTACGATGCTTCTGATACTAGCCCGGGGCCCGAACGTCCAAGATTGGGTCCCCTTTTCTTCCCCGCGGGGGCGGAACCTGCGGATCGCGTGAGGCAGCGAGCCCACACGACGTTCGATTGCCTGTCTAGATCACTGGTTCGGTATTTCGGCAGCCTTGTGGCTGCATCTGCTACTTGAAGCTGTACGGCTCTTCGGCTTCTAAGCGCCGTGTCAAAAAGCTTGACTGACAACGGTCACCGACGACGGCATATTGCACCCGCGCCGCGTAAGTCTATTCCCTCGCATCGCGGGTTCCCTTGAATCTTTCTCGGTGGACACGATATCCGGAGCTGAATCAGAGTTCAAGGACAAGGGGCTGTCAAAATTACAGTTGTATGCTTCTTTCTTATTCCGTCACCATGCCCTAGTCATTTGTCAATTGCGCATATCAGCAGTTCTCTAGAACGTCAAGAAATGTGCGTAATCCTCCTGGGAAAGCGTTTAATCCGCCAGCCTATCGAATCTCATCGTTTTCGGATTGAGTCGTGGGCAACCATGCAACGAATGGTCACGAGAAGATGTCGAGCAGGGCGGGACGAAGCGAGGCGGTTTGAGGCGGTTTGACCTTGCTCGCCTCCTAAGGTATGTTCTTCAGCACCGGCCCAACCACATCACCCTTTGAACCACCCAAAGAGGATCAGGGGGATTGAACAAAGTTTGCTGCCCTCAAACGTGAAAACGCGACGAGAGGATGGGAAGGGGGGCACGAGCCAGGCAGATCACCCGTGGTCGTGGTTAATCGTGTGGATTTCTCTCCGGATCCCCCAATGCTTATTCCTGAGACTGACCAGGGGCGACCTTTGAGTTCCGAATGAAGCATGAATAACCTTACAAAGTCTGTGGGTGGCCCTGGTTCGCGCTGCATGATACGAAAAGGGTGTGGGACTGAAGACTTCGGACGAGGGAACAGAGTTTCGGTTGCCTCGAGCACCTTACCCTTTTGAAGGTCTGGATGTAAAGGACTTGGGACGACGATGGACCGAGTCCCGAAACGACTCTCTGCGGTTGGCCTGACTCAACGGTTGTTACTATTCTCATTGCGATGCAGATGAGAATATCGACAATCGTCTCTTGATCCATGAGCGGTGGCTCAGCACCTAGCACATTGACATCTGTACTGCTAGAGTGGTTTCAGGCACCCTCGGTCACATTGTCTCGACATGTTCCGCCTCACGCCACTCGCAGTCGTATTGGGGGCACCTGATTTGGGACGAAAGATGAGTGCGTACATAAAGATCTGGCTGGTTCCTCGTCGTTCACCTCATTTTTGATTTGGTTCGACGGCAGGCCTCACAGTATCAAATTTAATACAGACATTCCCTTGGAAACGGTTACTTCGGTCCAAACATTCATACAGAATCATCTAATATTTCATCAACTTCGGTTCACTTCAGTCCATCAAAATGAAGTTCCTCACATTCGGATTCCTTCTCGCCTCGACGATCGTTAGCGTCAGCAGTGCTCCCGCAGATATCGATAGCAGGGCTGTCAGGTAGGCCTAGGGGCCCATCTCTCACAGCAACTTTTCACTAACGCCGGCAGTTATCAAAACAACTATGACCAACACTTGGAGGACCGCGAGGAGCGCAAGGAGGCTCGCGACATCTCCGTCCCCTCGTTCGCCGGTGTCGAGACCACCAGCGGTGTGATCGCTGACATCGAGGTCGAGGAGAACGCCGTTCCCCTGAGAGCCCGCCAGCTTCTCAAGAAGAAGAAGGGCAAGAAGGGCAAGAAGGGCAAGAAGGCGAAGAAGGCTAAGAAGGCCAAGAAGGCGAAGAAGGCCGCAAAGAAGGCAAAGGCTGCTGCCCCCGCAAAGGCCAAGGGCAAGGCCGCCGCGCCCGCCGCCGGTGCCGCGAAGAAGAAGGCTGCCGCGCCCGCTACTCCTGCCGCCGGCAAGGGTAAGGGAGCTGCTGCTCCTGCTGCTCCCGCCGGTGGTGCTGCTGCTAAGGGCAAGGGCAACGCTGCCCCCGCGGCTGCTCCTCCTGCCGCCGCACCTCCCGCCGCCGCGAAGCCCATCCAGCCTGCTCAGCCGGCTGCCGTTGCACCTGCCCCTGTTGCTCCTGCGATTCCCGCAGCCAAGGGCAAGAACAACGGCAACTGAGTTATTTCTCAGCTAGCTGTGGTGGTTGGAGGTTAATGGATAGAGAAAATCAGCACTGGTGCTGGTTGCTTGATTCGGTTCACGAGGTTTACGACAATGCGCAGTTATGGCGATTTCATAGGGCCAAACAGATGTGGTGACAAAAAGGTTTAGCCGCATAAGACGTGGGCAAACCCCTTCTGGGGACCCTCCATCTCAGTGGTGGTCAAGTCCGTGGGCTTCGTCCCTGGCGGTTCAAGAAGCAGCCCTCGAGCTGTCATTGAGACGTCTGGACGAGTTAGGGGTTTGAGACCGGAGTGCGGAAGTACATACATAGCCACAACGAGCAATCCAAGCGTCAGACGTTTATTCCCATCTCGTCTCTCTCATCTTCTTCGCAGTGAGTTACGAGTGGGCAAAGGGCGCCGCCCTCTCAAGTGAATCTCAGCATGTCGATGCGTTTGTGAGACGGACATCTTGGCGCTATGATGTCCGCGGCGTCCTCTTCACCAAGGAATCACTTTCCTTGTTTCATAGGTTGGACCCATGGAAACATGTTTCACTCTGTTCCCTGCCAACCACTACACCAACTTCAACCCACGGACATGCAGGTCACATACGGATACCATGTGCACGCTGTGGCCGTCTCAACTTCTTTCCTCCTTGCCCCCCCTCTCCGTTCGTTACATCTTACTTACCAGTGTCACCATCCAAGGCCAAGTTTACGAGCGATGGGACCCGATCTCTCCGGTGACTTGATCGACAGATTGAATGCAACCCTCTCTCATGAGATTTTCCGAGTGGCTGGACCGAGACCAGCAAAACGACTTGGCCAGCGAGTATTAGTCTAGCTCAGCACGATTCTCTGTCCCACTTTGGTAGCTACCTCGCCTTTGTTGAAAACAGGCTTGAATATCTTGGCCAACACTCCCGACCTCAAGTCCGAGAGCTCCGGCCGCTCCACCCGGTCGCACCGGACACCGACAACCAATATAGATGTCATTCCCACGATTCGGGCTTTGGGTCAAATGAAGCTTTCCCTGTCTGAGTCCACCCCCCGTCCACGAGGTACGTCCACTTTTCCCCCCTTGGTGCGCTCTTCTCTCTTTCGTTTTTCCATCCCCACCGAATTAGCTATTGCGTCCCCGTTTTCCCGCACGCGCATTGAAGAAAATTTCAACGACCTATCCACCATCAAGCCCACAACAACCTACGTATGAAGGACTAAGAGCAGATTCTGCCTCCGAAATTCCCATGAACGGGTTCCGATCCTTCCGACTCATCAAGTCGGTAAATGGCCGGTTGGCCCAATGGCAAGGCGTCTGACTACGATTCCCTAAAAAGAACGTGTAATCAGGAGATTCTGGGTTCGACCCCCAGGCTGGTCAATTCTTTTGCCCCTGACCGCAATCCACGCACTTCAGTACTGTAGTTGGTGATTGTTCTTTTGTTTCCCTTCCATTTTGGCTGAAAATTCCGGGGGTGTCTTCTTACACACTGCGACGCCACCTTAGTCAGATGAGCGGCAAATCAACTCCGGTTGGGTGGCCGTGTAACATGAAACGAGTGCTGAGTCGATTGTAGTCACGAGAACCCAGTCGTCCTTGTTTGCGAACCTACCGTACGTTACGGGATTTCCATTCCAGGCGAATATAAATGAAGATGATCATTGCAATTCATTTCAAGAGTGGAAATCGTACGTCGTCGAACAAAAATTCTCTCCATCACAAATTAGGGATAACCTTAAACTGGGTGACAGAACTCAAGCGTGACGCGAGCAAGAAGTTTGTTGTCGCGATGCTTTTCGCTACTGAAGTCCCTCGTTCCCTGTATAAGCTCAGGCTTTTTTGCTCTGCATTTTGTCACTCTGAGCTTGTTCGGAAAAGAGACGTCATGGTCATGAGTCGGAGTCGTCGGACCACGCGAGAGAGAGACTTTTTGGGTTTGTGCTTTGAGTTATTGTCGTCATCGTTGGACTTGTCTTCGTGAAGGAAGTGAGTGATTCTCTCACCTCGCGCTCAGTGATGCTTTTCAAAGGTCAATATAGTAAGTGGTTTACTTTCACCTACATCGGATAGGGCATCATTCATATCATGCATGCCTCTTGGCGCAGAGCATTGCAATCTCCCATAGATTCCATAAACGTATAGCTCTCGGACCATCTCGGAAGACTTCTTTCAGTCGTCTCTCTCCTCTAACAAGGATCCCTCGACCATTGGCAAAAGCTTAATTCCAGTGGGCGTCGAGGCAAGTTCTCCTCCCCCAAGTCAAGTGTCACACACTTGTAACCCAACTTGGCTCAAGTGTTCGTTTGTTCAATAATCATGGACTACGTTCGAAGCCTTGTAGAACGGATGACCCACCCGTCAAGGACTTAGTCTTTACACTGGCCTAACTATCAATTTTCTTGAAGTAAGTTCATTCTCCTCTTCTGCACGCTGCCTGGATGGGGTTGATTGAGCACGTAATGCATTGGAGACCTGGGCACGTGAGAGAGACACACCCCACAGCCCCCGGAAGAATGAATGACACCGCCCATGCAGTTGAGCAAGTATGGTCTCTGCCCTTGTAGTGAAGAGGGAAGCTGTGCCTTTTCGACATTGGCACATCGATGCCTCGCCCTTTGCAGCGTTTGTCATGTCCGAGAAATGGGAAGACACCAACCAGGTCGGTAAGAGGATATCGGTCAATCTCGTTCATGTCAGCAAACTCCGTGCATCATTCACACTCCGGTAGCCGATGACAATATGAACACGCGATGTGTGTGTAACAAGGCGTGATGCACCGAAACATCACTCCATTCATTGCCACATCTTATTTCTCTCCGGGTTTGCACGAACTGATTAATTGCAAATCTAAATGTCCAAAAACCAAATGAAGCGTTTGTTGATCAATCCATAACCGACTCACTCCATTGCGGTGCATTACCACAAAACGCCAAAAAGAAGTTGCTCCTGGTGAGGATCGAACTCACGACCTCCGCATTTCTCACATTGATGATGTAATTATAAGAACGGCGCCTTCACCACTTGGCTACAGGGGCTTTCTTAACTTCTGACAAAATTTGCTTTATCAACCCCTCCCGCACCCCCGGAGCTCGGTCCGTCACCACGCGACGGTGCGGCGCAGCAACTGCGCATACGTCCACATACGCAAAGCACAATCCGTAAAAGCATCCGATGCAACTCCGATTTTCATCACAAAGAACGCTGTCCTCAAAACTGTCGATATGCTCTGTTCCAACAAGATGATGTGTACTGTTAGTGCAGTACATTGCTGCAGTGCACCGCCTCTATCAGAGAGCTTGATTGGGTGCTGTGCTTCTTGGTGGGGTCTGGATGACGGGTGAGGGGGAGAGCTGCTCTCGGAGGTAAGGTGCGACACCTTTGCGCGTTCCGCCAGCGGTCTCATGGAAGCCCAAGACGTTGAGTACACTTGCGGCTGATAGCGCACTTGGGCGGCTCTGCAAGTGCAGATTTAGGTTGGTTATCTAGCCTTTCTGCAATACTTCCTTCCTTCCTTGCACTCGGTTTCTTTCCCTTGAGCTTGTTGTCCGCATGTACTTCCAGCTATCCGTCCGACTAGGACGAATTTCACTTCGCCGGTTCGGAGTCGACAACATGATCGACCTGATCCAACCGACCCGCTTCCTGGTCCAGCTCCTATCGGTTGTCGACAGGAACGAATGCCCTCGACACCAAGATCAAGGGTCGCAGCATACCAAACGAGGATACGAAATGCTCGCATGGTGACCGTGACAGACCTTAGCAATGTTTCGACATCGCAATGAATCCTCACTGATAGATTCATCGATTGCACGTCTACTTCCAAACTCCAAACTGAAATGAACATGAGAAAACATAAGTATGCAATGAGAAAATGGATGAGGTACTAGACCCATACTTGTGGCGTACAGCCGCTACCGGCACTCCGGCGAGTGGGGCATCCGGAGCCGACCCCCGTCGTCCTGATGACAACCTCCCAAGACTCGCGCGATTCTCCAATGTGTCTCTCTAACTCTATGAGAGCCACTAGTCCTATGCGATTCACAGATTATAAGCCGATAATTCATTCTTCCTACCTTCCGATTAGATATCATACATCATTCAGGTGGACCTTAGAACCTCACGGTCCACGAGCTCTCTGATGTACCCTACTTGCTTGATTACCAAGTTCAAGCCAGCCAAATCTCTTGTACTACTACGAGCCCTTTATAGAGGCTTAGGGCATAAAATCACCGTGGCGGAGTAAACCTGAATCACCATTTTACGTGAATGCCGTCTTCAAGGACGGGGTCTTCATTCTTCAATTTGTGTTAGCTCGTACTGCCACACACCACTCAAGTCCACGTCCACCGAGTTAGATACTGTGATGGTATCGTGAGACGCTTACTGATAATTTGAATTGACCTACAATACCAATGAGTTTACAAATGCTCACCTATTCTCAGTGCAATGTGACGCTGATAGCAGGGCCATGTCGCAGTATCCCGTGAAGGGGGCACTATCATCTTCGTCTGATACTGTCGGCCCCGCCATTGATGCCGGTGATATAAGCCTAGCAAATGCCGATTATTGACACACGAAAGGTGGGTTCCGAGGAGTCTGTCAAGGTGAGCGAGCTTGTATTGGTAGCCAATTTGGTGAGGCGAGAAACCGGTGTCGAAAAAACAAGACCGACGCCCTCGTCGTTGTCTAATTGTAAACTCAATTTGCCGAAGCAAAATGCAGACAATGAAGCAGTGCCTGCTTATCGCGCACAGAAGGAAAAATTCCGTTCGGCATCCGGTCTAACTGGCTCGCTTCCCCAGAGTATACAACTAGGAACACCTCAAGAGAGACGAATGAGAGACCTAAATAGGAAATCAAAGTACCTGAGGCCCATCAACGGACTACTCTACATGTTCTTCGGCATGGTCAATCCGCGCGTTCCCGTCATGAATCACTCCAAGGAAGAGAACCCAGGTTATTACTTTGCCTCCTGTCAACGGATATAATCTGTCTGATGGTTTCTTTCGAGAGGGAATCCCGGCACCTAGACGTCCTTTTATATTCTTCGCGACGGCGCCACTTGTGAGAATCTGATCTTCACCATGTCCAGACCCTTGCACCATCTAGCGTACTTCCATAAACTGATTTGTACGGATATGGGAGATAGTTTACCCAGACAGATAACGCGGTGTTCAATCATTATCCGAAAGAGCGAAACACCAGCGTTGAGGATGATCGATTTCGCTGCTTCAGGAGAGACAACCTACATTAAGGGAGATATAGATCACAGCCACTAGCACACATCAATAACACTAAACCAAAAGATTAGATATACACGCGAAATAAATCCCATCCCCAAACGAAACTCAAAGCCGAATGCCCATAGATTCATCCCACAGATCTGAACTTCAACCTGAAGCTCACATAGTCGGTTGATCCGCGCTTCCTCATATCACGGGGGGACCTTGACGCTTTACATCCTGCCCTCAAGAACCAGGGCACAGCTGTTGAGTTCTGGAGAGTAACACTCTCGAAAGCTGCCAAACACCCGTGGACAGTGCGGAGTCGTGAAATCTTGAGTACATCTTCATACACACATATCTAGCCGCAGCATCGCCAACAAGACATCCCAGACGACCAGTGCAGCATCGCAAGCCGTGGAGACATGTACCACCGACAAACTTCACTCCTTCTCCTGAGACCCCAGCAGGAACACGAGACGGACTCCATCACATCACCTCACACCCGACAGATCAATCACCAACCTCACACAATGACTCTTCTCATCTTCCAAAAAGTCATTCTCCAATAAATCGTACAACTTCGTGATTAAATCGTACATGCCCGTCCCGGACAAGTTCTATGAACGACACATTTCCGTAAACACATCTTAATAATATATCTCATTTGACCCCGGGCCTCCCTCCCCCAACTTCACAAAATACACTCACCTCATTGACCTCCCACAGCGCGTCCCACCGCCCCCGCAATCTCCCCAAACAAGACGCCCTTGAACACGCTCTCGCCCATATTCTGCGTCCAGTGACCCGCCTTGGAAAGCTTCTCCTTCCAGAGCTTCTTCTGCTGCGGCGCCAGGTCCTCCCAGCTGACCGCGGGACCGTACACCTCTTCATCGTGCACGGCGGCCTGGAACCTAGGGACGGGGTCTTCTTCAATGTGCGTGGGGCTGACAACGTCCTCGCGGATGACGATCGGGTCGCCCTGCAGAGCGTGGACGTCGCCGATGAGAGAGGTGAGGAACTCGTTGGGCACGTTTGCGACGGAGCCGCGGCTGGGGAGGATGCGCGGTTGAATTGCGTCCATGGTTTCGAGGCCGAGTTGGAAGAGGATAGCCAACACGAGGACGAGGACCGTCGTGGCTGCGAGCCAGGTCTTGGACCACTTGCGGGGTTGCAGGGCAACCGCATAGCGCTGGGGTCGCGGCGGACCGCCCTTGCGGATGGGAGCGTCCCTGTCGGTGAACTTCTTCAAGAGGATGGAGTGCACGATGACGGTGTTCTTCATTGAGATACTCGCCAGCTTAATGTACTGAGGGCGGGCGGTGGTCTTGGGCGGGATGTAGTGAGAGAGGGTGACGTTTGTGATCTGCAGAGGGTGTACTTCCTTCAACGTCGTGAGCAGATCAAAGTCGACAAGCAAGTCAATGCTCGAGTGCGCATGATGCTCGAGCGTGAAGAGTGATATCGACCGATCCTGGCCAACTGCAGCGACGAGAAACTGCGCGTTGCCAATCTTAGCGCCAGGGGCTGAGGGAGGAGTGAGATTCCGCGCAGCAATGGTGGTAATTTGGTTCACCGCACGAGGCAGCTTCACCGTCGCCGCCAAGCGTCCAGGTTCGTCCTCCTTGAGCGGAAGTCGGATTCCCAAAAGAATTGCACCACCCCGCTTGGGAATGTTGGTGCCCGCCAGAACAAAATCTTTTGAGAGGTACCGGATTGACCGGAAGTTAGGCCAGGTACCGGAGCCGTCCTCCTTGATTTCGTAGGCATGGTGAGGACCGTCAATCTCAGACTCTACAACATTGATGATGAAAAGCTCGCGCTCGTCGCAGTACGCGACCTGGTACGAGTCCTCCCCAGTCTGAATGACATCCACGTCCACGGGCTCCTTGGAAACGTCCAACTGTCCGAGAATCTTGGGCTTGGTAGCATTCCCAGCCGCAATCTCAAAAATCGCAATCTGCGACTGCTTAGCCAACCCCGTCGCCACGACACCAAGCTGCTTCTCGCCATACGGCGCAGACAGCCGGAGGACGCGCTGGTACGCATCCTTGTCGATCTCGTTATGGGCAAAGATGGAGGTGCGCGACAGCTCAGCCAGGCTCACGCTAGGAGCGTTGGCGCCGGCCGAGACGCGCGCCTTGCTCTGCTCGATGCCAAAGGCGCGGAAGTGCTCGTTCTTGCCCTTCTCGACCTCGGCGGGGCTCGAGTTGATGCCGGCGTAGAGGTAGCTCGTTCTGCCCTTCTTGGGACCGGCGGCGAGGGTCATGACGCTGTCCTCATTGCGGCTGAGGTCGGCTTCGCCGCTGATGCGCAATTCTTCCTTGGCTGAGGTGTCGATTACTGTCTGCGGCGCAAAAGGTTAGTCGCACGAAAAGGCAGATGATTGTTGGGTGGGGGGAGGAAGAGCGACGGGGTTTGACGAACAATCTTGTTGGCGACACCGCTGCGGTTGGCACCACCTCCTCCGCCAATGAGAAGGCGATTCGGATCTTGGGGGTCGAATTCGCAGGCGTAGGGGAGGTAGTCGAGGGAGAGCTTCGCGGTCTCGAAGGGGGAAGCCATGGCTGACGGATCTGACGGCGGTCTTGGCGGGGGAGACGTTCCCTGCAATTGACTGGAGAATGGGTCCGAGGTATTAGGGGAAGAGGATTCGAATTTTGCTGAGTACACGTGTCAATCGTCAAAGAACCATGGCCGACTGAGATTTGATTTGCGCAACGTGTGTGTCGGAGGAAGAGCAGCGATGTTGAAGAAGGATGACGTTGGAACGAATGCGGAAGAAAGAAAAAAAGAGTTGGCCAGATGGCCTTGCCGAGTTAGTTAGGGGGGGCAACGTCAGTTTGCCTCAGCTCTGGTTCTGGTCTGGAACCTCTCCACGTGTGTTTTAGTGCAAGTAAGCTCAGCTGGAGCACGGGACAGGCAACCTAAAGCTGTCACTTCACAGCTCAGCTGGGGGAGCACAGGGAGGTTCGTTGGTCGATCTAAAGACCCTTGTTCTTCTTCCTGACTGGCTGTATTGATCATTTGTACCCATATTTTCTCTCCTTGCTCCCCAGAACCAGTTCCTCGGAGCCGCCAAGATGGATAACTTCATTTCATCGACTAGTAGTTATTTTGTCACAGTCATGTTTTTCTGCCGTCTTTTGCCGATAAAACTTTCAGTCTACATTCACATTGAGGACGTCTTAGTCAAGCTGAGCTGAACTAAGGTAAACAACGAGCATCGTATTCTTCTGTTGCTGTAACCACCACAAAGTCGGTGGATCTATAGTTCTATGGATGGAAGCATTTGCTGATAGCTTCTCTCTAAATGACTTGGTGCGCTAAGTAGGATGTGCCTATTCATCCCCAACCGAAAGCGCAAATTACCCTCGCTGGCACAGTGTGCTGGTCGCACGATTCTATCCCCTCCAAAAAGAAAAGAAAAAGCCCATCTCGTCAAGGCCCCAAGCCTCAAGCCTCTCTCTCTCTCTCTCTCTCTCTCTCTCTCTTAAAGTGCATTTCGACCGCGCTGGACTGCGAACCAGGTGTCCCGGGCCACACTCATATTGTACAACCTGCTGGGGGCAACGGGAATGTTTTCCTCACGCCTCATGTTGCCCATCTTGTTCGACTCCAGGGGGCGAATGGTCTTGCCACTGGGCGAGATTGACTGTTGATCTGGACGGCTCTGCGCCTGCTGGCCTTGTTGCCTTTGTTGAGCCTGGGAAGTTTGCTGGTGATCCAAGATGATTTGAGCACGTTCCATGACGTTGTTGTAGTGGTGAATCCGCTGCTCCCATTCACCCATCACTCTGGTACCATGGCGATTCTGCCTCGTGATTCGAATCACCTCGTTGCAGTCGTGGCAGATCTGATCCTTGAGGCTGGTATGCTCGGATGGTTCGCGATGCATGCAGCCATTTCTTGTGGATCCACGGCTCTTGATGCAGTCATAGGTGACGCACTCAACATGCTGGCACGCATAGGTGTAGAAGACCTTTTGGCACATCTTGACTGCGATGACTGGTTCACACCTGACTCGTTAGTGAATGTTTCCAAAGCACAAGGGCGAGTGAGCGATCATACCTGATCTTCTTTGATGTTGGTCCTGGTTGTATAGTAGTATATTGCTTGTAGATAGTGTATAAGCGACCGTCTTGTCGAGGTCAAAGGCGGAAGGTCCGACTCTGGTAGGTAAGTGAGGGTTGTGTCGGGAAGATCGTCAGACTAGTTTTTCAAGAGCCAAAAAGGATATTTGAAAGGGCAGTCAGTCGACTGTAGGATTGGAGGTGCCGAATTAAGAGATGCAGGCGACCATCTTCAAGGGGACGAGGGATCTGGGAGGTATCGAGGCCGTTCTTTGACTTGAGGTTGGTGTACAAGAAGAATGCTTTGGCCAAGACAGGTGCCACGCTTTCTTCCGGTGCTAGATCTGGTTGGCGGAAGGCGAGATCGAGATTTCTTTTAGGAAGCTGCCTTTCCAGACTCTACTGGAATCCCTGTAGAAGGCTCAAGTTCCCATGAGAGGATGTGCTTAGGGTAAGCAAGAGCTGTGCACCAAGAGACCGGTCAGCAAATTGTTTGGAGATGGGGAAATCTTCGTGAATATTTCGACTGCAGTTCTCAGCAAGACATGGGCAAAAGCTAGGAGTCTTCGTTGGATATTGTAATGATGAAGTGCTGGCGAAGGCAAAGGGAATCGGGGGCTGAGTTGCAACGGTGCGTGAAGGGAAGGTGAAGGTGAGGATGAAAGGGTCCGGATAGAAAGTGCGAGGACGGGGAGGACTTACCAGTATAGAAAAGGTTGAGCTTTGCTTGTTTGTCCCTGTATGCCTCCCAGAGTCAGCCACGGAATGGTCAATCGCATGAAGATTTTCAAAATCGTGAGGGAAAGTCCTGCAAGAACCTCAAATTTTCTAGAGTGATTTTGTCGGAGGGCAGGTGTTGTAGCAGTGGTTGGAGTAGGGGCGGGTTTGATACTCACTGAAAAGGGAACCGTCAGTCGAAAGAGTCGATCAGGATGATCTTCCCTGAGAGAATGTTTGATTTGTCTTCGTGACGTCTGCGATAGGAGTGAGGTCAGCGTCGTGAAGCTTACTCGCAATTCAGGTTGACTTGGCGTTGGCCCAAGCAGGTGAAGAGTATAGGATAGGTATCGTACCGGGCAGTGGAAAGAAACAGATGATGTTGGTGAGAGTAAGGGAGAAGGGAGCTAGGAGGCGGAGGAAGAGGAAGATATTTGTAGTCCTTTGTGGAGTGTGCTTGATGGAGTCATGAGCGAGGGAAGGCTCGACCAACTGGTGGGAAGAGGGAAGTTGAGAGGGAGGCGCAAGTGTACAAAAGGAAGGCGTCGAGACCCGGAGTTGGCTTCGAAAAGGGGGAAATCACCAATCCAGAATACCAGAAATGAGGCGAGATTCGAGACCGAAATGTCCGGTGTCGAGGGGTCGAAGTGGCTGGACGAGCACAGATGAACCGGCAACGCAGGTGAAGTCCACGAGGCGTGAAGAAGATAATCTTCCAATGTAGTTGAAGAAGGTAAAGACGAAGGCGAAGATGAATGACGGGTAAGAAAAAAAAAACCCCGACGAACCTCTCGCAAAAAACTGATTGTATCGTGAGAGCTTCAACCAGAAAACTAGTCGCTGTGAAGACGTCGAATCGCAGGGAGGCGTTCCAAGTTCGTTTCAAAGGACGACGCTCGAGAACCTAAATCAGGACTCCAAGTCGATGGCCCGGGATCGTTGCAAGTCGGAGTTTTGAGTAAGCATATGTTGAGCATATGTTGAGCTCGAGTCGAAGTCGGGTTGAGGAAGGATTGAGGTTCAGGTCTAGGTCAAAGTTGGAGGTCAAAGTCTCGCTCGAGATAACCACAGGTGGAATCCGTGGGAGATGAAAAGAAGAGGAGAGGAGGAGTGGTCTCTTTGAATACCGTGATCGAGGGACGTCGTTAGTCAGTCTGCCAGGTGAAGTTATCCTTGATTTCAAAAGGAGAACTCACTGGAAAGATTTCGCAGAGGAGGTAGTCGACAAGAATAGTAAACGGAGGCCAGCACTGAAGCGTAGGTAATCCCGCCAGGGTTGAATCAGATCTATAGATGAGGTGGAAAGAGGAAGGAACGACTACCTCAGCCAGCCACCTATCTCTTTCCTCCATTCATCTCAATCACCTTTCCCAAATGCAACACGCAAACACAACCAAATCTCTCACTCGTCTTTCACACACAACAATCACTTTCACATCTCTCACATAACCACAGTTCCCGCGCCGGTAAGATGATGATGTTTACTCGATTAACATTTGTATTTTCCTTCAATCACCCAAACAACTCCAAGGCAATCCGCTACTACAACTACACCCATTTCGTCAAAAGCCAAGTCAAATACCAAAACGGGGGGGGGGGACCTTAATCAATAAGAATCTTCTCCTCCAACTCCCCAAACCGCTCATAAAAGCTCTCAAACAACTTAATCGCATGCTCCACATCCGCGCTACCGCCCGTCTCGCGAATAGAATGCATACTCAACTGCGGGTTCCCCAGATCCAGCGTCCTCACGCCAAGCTTGGCGCTGAGCATGGGACCAATCGTGCTCCCGCACGGCGAGTCGTTGCGCACGACAAACAACTGCAGCGGAACGCCCGCGAGGCGCGCGCACTCCTGCAGCAGCACGATGCCGGGCGAGTTGGTCGCGTACCGCTGGTTGGCGTTGACCTTGATGACGGTGCCGCCGTTCATGGCCGGCTGGTGCGAGGACTCGTATTTACCCGCGTAGTTGGGGTGCACCGAGTGCGCCATGTCGGCCGACACGAGGAAGGAGCGCGAGAGCGTCTGCTCGTAGGCCGTCGACTCGTAGTCCCCTCCGTCGTGGGAGGATACGGCCACGTAGGACCCGTCCGAGGCCGTGTCGCGGCTGCCCGGGAGGGAGGCGAGACGGCGCAGGACGGCGGGGAGGAGGTTCGAGTTGGCGCCGTGGGCGGAAGTGGAGCCGATTTCCTCGTGGTCGAAGCAGGTGACGAGGCGGATGGTGGTGTCGTTTTCGAGGACGTCGGCGGCGCGGACCGAGGCGATGAGGCCCTCGATGGAGCAGTACGTCATGTTGAGGTTGTCGAGGCGGGCCGAGAAGATGAACTCGTCGTTGAGGCCGCCGAGGCAGGACTTTTGCACGTCGTAGAGGACGAGCTCAAAGTCGATGACGGCCTCGGGCTCGACTTCGGCGTGGGAGGCAATGACGTCGAGAATGTGAGGGTGGTGACGCTCCGTCATGGCCTTGAGCGGCTTGAAATCCTCCTCGGCCTCGTCGCCGCCCTCAGCAGTAGCAGTACGCGCGGGGATGGCGCTCCCCTTGTTCAGCTCCGCCGTGGCCAATCCGGCAATGGGGAACAGCTCATTCTCCTTGTTCGGGTCAAACGTAGAGCTCCGGTCGAGGTGAATAGCCAGCGTCGGGATGCGCAGCAGCGGCTTGTCGACCTTGATCAGCTTCTGGACAAAGTTGCCCTCGGCGTCCTTGACGAGGACGCGTCCCGCGATGCTGAGGTCGCGGTCGAACCAGCTGTGCCAGATACCGCCGCCGTAGGTCTCGACGCCGACCTGCATGAAGCCGACGTTGCTCTTCTTGGAGACGGGCTTGATGCGCAGGGTCGGGGAGTCGGTGTGGGCGCCAATCATGGCTACCGGGTTACCGGGCTTCCACTTCTTGCCGATGGCGAAGGCAACGATGGACGAGCCATTGCGGGTGAGGTAGTATTTCCCGCCCGGTCGCAGCGCAGAGTTCCACGAGTCGCGCTCCTTGATCTTCGTGAAGCCGGCCTTTTCGAGGCGGGCGGCGGCGGTCGCGCAGGCGTGGTAGGCTGCGGGTTGGGGGGAGGGACACAGTCAGCTAGGGTACCTTGCAAGACAAAACGACGTTCGCCGCGTAAACAAATTGTCAATTGTGCTTACGAGTAGGAGAGGCGTTGACAAAGTCGACAAAGTCGAGGGCGGCAGCGGGAGGAGCCATTGTGCTGGTGGACGTCGAGAATCGAGCTCGGGTCTGGAGGGGTCGTCGAAGGACGGTGACGGTGACGGTTGGGATGGCGGGGTTCTTGATTGATCTGGCAGAAGCTCGGCACAAGAAGGTCGTAGCCGATAGCATCTAGGGGTGCTAGATGAACAGATAGGAAGCTCTGCAATTGCAACTGGGAGAATATCACAGACGTTGCTTCTCTCTCTCTCTCTCTGTTTCTGTCTCGCGGATTCGTTCAGTTGTAAGGAAAGGTCACGAGGGGTGGCTATCAGGTCGCATGTCGTCAAAAGGTAACCCGACGTTGATCCGGCGCCGAAAGCTGGGATTATCTGCTTCACCTGCCGAAAAGGAATGGGAGGGACCCAGGTGCGTTAGGTAGGCATGTAGGTAGGGTGGAGCGTGTGCACCACCGGCTTCTGAGCGTTACCTTACCTAGGTTGATGGCCCATGGGAGATCGGTGGGTGGTGGCCGTGGTGGTAGTGGTGGTGGTGGTCCCCCAAAGACTTAGCTTAGGTTGGAATGATCCGTCGAAGACCGGCAAAAGCAGAGATACGTACCCATACTTATCAAAAGGCTTCAACCACCGCCAGTACCATGTATCTATACATGAGGTGCCTCACTTCAACCTACCGTCCATCCCGTGAGTCTGTATGTAAGGCAAGGTAAGTCTAATGTACTGGCGCAGCCGGGCTAAGGCGCCTCAAGCTCAAGGCAGAGGCAAGGCAAAGCCAAAGGTGTCGGTCGGGTCTGGTCAGGTTCAGCATCCATCACCTTTCTTGTTGATTGCATACGCCACCAAAGACAAAACTCCCGTGATGCAAGTTGGGTTGAGTAGATATTCGTTCGGATTAAAAAAGAAGGATGTGTCGATGGAGAGCAGAAGCAAGAGGGCTTCCGATGGTGGTCTCTGTGCGCGACTTGACGCGCGCCCTCTCTTTCTATCTCTCCTTCTCCCTCGTCTTCTTCCTCTCGTACGGATCAATACACAACCGGCACACGCACACACACACACACACACACACACAAGCATAAATCTCGAGCATAAACACTTCCCATCGCAAAATGCGCAAAAGTGCTACCAAACCTCGGCTCGGCTGGGACAGACTGCACTATCCCGCCTACAGTTGACAACAAAAAAATGCTCAGTGGCCCGCTGCCCACAATGGGGGCCCTCGTCTGCTCTTCACTAGGTGAATAGATAGGTACTCCGTAGTAGGCCAAAGGTCCTTGCCCCTGGCCTGGCAGCGACAGCGACAGTGGAGGAAACTCAGTGGCCTGTATATAGGAGACTTTGCCTACCCAGTAACAAAAAGCAGGGAAAGAAGAAAGAGAAGGACAGGACGACAGGGGGAAAAAAGGAAGAAGCACCCAGTCCAGGTTTAAGGGGGAAAAAAGAAGAAGAAGGACAAGGCAAGGCAAGGCAAGGCAAGGCAAGGCAAGGCACCCGAACCCGTACAGAGTGGCGGCAAAGTCGACGACTGCAAAAACCCATGCAACCATGTTCGATACCTGGCGTTGCAGCACGACAGATACGGAATTGACCCCCCCCCCCCCCCCCCCCAGCTCTGCAGATCCCAGGGACTTCCTTGAACACAAGCCACAGCCAGCTAGACTGACTGACCGATTGACTGACTGACTGTCCCAGCAGCGCCTTTGCAGGACTCATGGACGGGATGATGGGGACACACAGTTTGGCACCCATCAAACAAGCCGATCATGCTTTCCCGTCCGTCTCTCACACGCTCTCTCTCCATTGTGTCTCAGTGCCCCTCCTGCTGGTGGTGGTGGTGGTGCTGTTTCTCCAAACAACAAGAAACGAAAGGAGTCGAAAAAGCCACACAGCCCATTCAAGTCAGAAGAAGAACAGCAACGAGAAGAGGAGAGAGAGAAGGCTGCCAGGGCAAACACCAGATGGCTCATAGCACCATGGTGAAACTTGTCACCGGTCCTTCCCTCCACTTCCTCCCATTTCCCAACGCCTGCCACACAAGCAATTCTCACCAGCAAAAAAGACTTGGACCACTCTGAGCTCCGTACCGGTCGGGAGAGCCAAGCTCATTGGCGTGGTACCCTTTTGGGATGCCTTGCAGGCGCTTGTCTGTGCTTCCTCCCCACCTTTCCATTCCTAAGCCAGGCGGACTAGGTCGATATGAGAAGAGCTGCTGCTGCTCTGGTATCCCGTATGGATACACATTAACACAGTATGTGTTGTAGAATGACAGGCTCCCAGGGTTGTTCAATCTTCATCTCGCCAAAAAAGATAAAAGATCTCTAGCCTCTCGCGCCTCTCTGGCTGCCAACGGGAGCACGGAGGCAGCTTTTTGGCCCCCCTGAGCCTTTGCTGCCTGCCAGGCAGTTTTTGCTAGTATGGCGAAGCTGATATAAGTACCCTATTCGTGTAGGAGTTATGCGGACACCTTCGATCTCCGTCCAAGGTACAGACGATGTGTAAGAGGTCGTGTAGCCGTAGTGTATCCGTAGAGTAAATCGCACGCCACGAGACCTCCAGTCGGCTGCTCTGTCAGTCTGTCCTCACCAGAGTCCAAGACTCTCAAGTCCTGCAGCAACGTCGACGGTCGACCACCACCGCGCTCTGCTGCCCGCAGCCCGCCCCAGACCCCTGCTAAGGTCAAAACTAACGAGCAGGGGTACTCCATGACCAACGCGGACCCGGGTTTGACAAGCTGCCCTTTCTTTTTGCACAGAGCAGATGCCAGGTCCCTTCGGATCAGCAGAGTATTTATCGAGCAGGTGGTCAGTCAGCGAACGATGTGCGCCCATCAGACAACTTTGTCCGGAAACTGGGCTGTGGCTGCCAACTGCGTAGGTATGTGTTCTGGAAATGCCCATCGTGTTTCTCAAAGTGATATCCTTTGTCGGAAAGGTGACTGTCAGCCAGCCATGCATTGTGCTTTCCAAGTCCGATGGAGGCTGAACGAGAACACCCAGCCAAAGTACTTCGTAGTTATCGCACGTCGGCGCGCATGCTGATGTCGCGGATTTGGTGGAGAGTAGAGAACCGCACTCAAGGTGGCCTCTATCCGTACCGCGGTAGCGTTTGCCGCCTCTTCTTCACTCCTTCTGGAAGGGCATCGGAATCTAAGAAAAGATAGGCAGTCGAGTCCTTCGCCTGGCCCGGTATCCAGATTAGTTGCGAGGCAGGGCAGAAATCTGCATCGCCGCATCGCATCGCCCAATGTAAGATGCGCTGACCTGACATCCCATCCGACTCTTCCAGTATACACATTCGATTATCAGCTGGCAACCGTTTGCAGTTTGCTGTCAACTGGTTCTTTTTTTTTTCTTTTTTCGCCACGGGCTGGACTGCGACCCGAATGAGCCAAAGAACGGCCTCCTCCAAGGCCCGGTGGTAATCTCAAGCCACCGTCTTTTGCTGGGCAGAAAAAAGGGACTGGAGAGGAAGAAGAGAGACGGACCAAATGAGACGAAGACGCACACCTCGCCCAGTAGGTGCCGCCTACCGAGTTCGAAAGCCAATCATTGTTCGTTCTTTGGGGCGGTCCCTTTGACCAGGGGTTGGCCTTGTCGCGCTATGGACACTCGTCCCAGCGACACGCATACGCTTCCGTCACCTTCCAGTAAGATCCTCAGGGGCATGAATGCTCACTTCCTCGATGTCCCCTGCGCAACACAAGAGTGATGAAGCTCCATTTTGATAAAAGGAAAGGCTGGCGGCAGGTGTCTCTGGCCGTTCTTATTCTGGTGGTGCTTTGGTGGTGGCATATTTGACACACGCAAGCGCCAGCTTCATGTCGCGATGCGTGACGGAGGCTCATGGCATGGGATGCCCACACACGATGAGATGGGGGAGCTGGCTCCGGGACTCGAGCATTTTCCCGACCCACCACAAGGGGCAGGGGGGTCTGGCCCCCTTGCCCTTCCCGGGTCGTCGATTTGAGTGCGACGATCAGACATCTTCGACTGTATCAAAAGAGCTGCCGTCTGTTGCGCACCGTTTCCTTTGTCTAGACTCTCCAGCAGTTGCAACTTGCGAGCTGTCGCCATGTAAGCACGCAAGTAGAGACTCGCGGCTCTTTTGACCGCTGTCAAATGTAGTGCGCGATGCGTTTGTATCCTTGGCTGAGTGAGATGGTGCGATGGCAAATAGCCACATTCGTCCCCGATGCCCATCGATCCTAGCCGGGGGGTGTGTGTCGTCAGATACGGGTGGTGTCTTTGGTGACGCCATTCCCTTGCCAATCGAGCCTCTCTGCCCGGTATGACAAAGTCCAAACTCACACCATCATCGCCTCCGATGGAGCCCCCTCATTTTGGCCGCAGAGGTCGATCGACGTTGACTGGTTGCTTGTTTTTGTTTCTTTCCTGCTGCTGAGTCTTCTTGACCGTCATATCAACTGGTTTCTGTGCGTAGCTAGTTCCCGCACTGGCAGTTCGAAACTTTGGAGGGGACCCGCAGATCGTCCAAGGGAAGTGGGCTGTTGGCATCCCAAATCCTGCCCAGACACGCCAGGACGCTTCACATTGCCCTCAAGGTCCCGGGTTAGAGCATCGTTTCGACCTTGAAGAGAGAAAAGATTGGAGGCGGCGACAGAGGTGCAGAGTTTGTGCTCGAGTTCGTTAGCTGCATGACCCTCGCCCGTGCCGTTCAAGCGGGAACGAAAGCGCAAACTCTAAGCCCATACCAAGTCGCTGCTTTCGTCCATTCCAACGTGTATCTCATGTCAAAGGCCCTGCTCCTAAAGGCAGCACACATGCAAATGTGGAGGAGAGCACGGTGGCAATCCCACGACCCCGAGCGCACAACAGCAACGGTGCCATCTAGATCACCAAGACCAGAAGGGGGAAAAGGTATTCTGAGATAGAATGCGGAGGTGAATGAGGGACTCGCTCTATTACGCCTGGGATTACCGCGTGGGAGCACAACGGCGGGCAGAAGGTTGGAAGGTGGGTTGCTTTACAACCGTGCTGCGTTGACCTTGTTCGAACTTGTTTCGTCTGCTTTTTTTCCCCTTAGATGGCCTTCCATCGATGGAAAGAGATATCGTCTCACAGCGTGACAGCCCAGCGTTCGTCGCAATGCAGGTACCGTCGCCAACTCTCTCTGTACTGTGTACTCTGCCTTGGAGTGATAGACAACATCGTTCAAGCCCGGCGGCGATCCCTGCGCAGCGTCCTTCATAGAGCATGATCTCGAGTGTGCTCCTTTCTCTCTATCGCTTAGCAACCAGGCGTGTCAGGGAATCTCGAGCTGATGCGGCGTCGTGTAGTCGGTTGCTAGCCTCGCTGCCTTCGCTGCACGGTATTTATGTATTACTTCGTGTTGTTCAGCAGCTTTCACAACAGTGCTGCCTCGTTTCTCCATATGCGCGACGCTGTCTGCTTGTCAGCCACTTTGGCTGGGGAAGCGGGGTGGCCCAAGGCGTAAGGCTTTGAACCAGATACAGACGGCTGACCGCGGACACGTTCCCTTGCCGATTTGATTGCAGTTCTTTAAGAATCCGAATGGATTCTTCAACTGTGAGAAAGATATCGTCATACCAAGTTGAAGAAACTGGTTGATGCGACAGTATTCAACTCATGGTTTCGATAGCACTCTGCAATGCCGATGAGAACCCTGACGGTGATCGTTCCAGACACGGGCCAATAATGCGAAGTATCGATTCAACGTTGGCACGAACGTCGACACCAGATGTTCAGAACACTAGTCAATCCTCCGAGCTGGACCCGGACGAAAAATAGCTCGTATGTATCTCCCTGAACTGCGCCAGCTAGAGACGAGGTTTGTTCGACGACTGCCATATCTAATTGAAGCGTAGAATACGAAAAAAAAAAAAAAAAAAACCCCCCCCCCCAGATTCAGCGCAGCTTTGGTACGCACACCAGCTGCCTCGCACCATTGGAGCTGTTTACCGGATCAAGGATCTGGCTGATGGTGTTGCCGACCCCTGCTGGGCTGAGAAGACCCCGAAGATGCAGCGCCAATGGACGGGTGACGTGCTAGTGAGGCGATCGACTTGACCGAGACTGGATGTCAGCCACGCGCACGCCAGTACAAAGTAGCCTACGCCTCTTCCATCTGACGGCGCCCCCTCCCCCCCCCCCCCCCCCCCCCCCCCCGGGAGTGTCGCTAGTTCGAGCACCCACGCCATCAAATAGTGCGAGCGGCCACTTGGTGAAGGCGTTGGACGGCTGGCGGCATGGCGAGCCAGGAGGACAATCTGCCCTTCTGCCACGGCTCTTGGCCATACATATACTGGGATGCGCGATGGCGATGGCCTATGATGATAGAGCGGTGGCCCTTCAAAGCTGCGGAAGATTTCGAGTGGCCAGCGAAGAAGCTGTAAGTATGGAGACTCTCTTCAGGCTCATCAAATCGAGTAGCAACAAGGGCGAGGCGAGAAGTCGGTGCGAAAACAGAGACATGTTGAACAAAGATTGGCCCGACGGATCAAGGTCAAGCCCCCCCCCCCCCCGTCCGTTGTATGCTCGGCCGTCCACACTTGAAACAGATATGCTATTTTGGCGGCCAAGGCACCTTACGCGGCGGGCAGTGGGGCACCTGGCATACTCTGATGAAGCCTTCTCTGGATGTGTATGTGTCTGCGTCTGTGTCTCTACGCGTGCGTGAAGGCTGTCTGCTTGTCCTATCTGTCTCTCCCTCTCGACTCTTGCAGCATCACCTAGCATCTGTCATTCGGTGCAGTGCGTTTTGGGCGTGCAGCGCCGCCAGCTGGTACAAGGTGCGGCAGGTCTGCGGCACGCCTACGCCGGGTGCTGCTGCAGAGCCATTGGAAAAGAAGCAGTATAGGTGGCATGGCCCAAGGACTAGAAGAGGGACGGGGTGGGTTGGTCTGGAGTCGAGGGCCGCAAAAGGAGCCAAGCGCAGCGGGAGACGCTTTGCTTTTCTGACATGGCCGGACGATTGTTTGGCAGAAGGAGAGCCCCCTCCGAAAGCTGGTCCGTCAGCTGTCCTTCACTTCCCACCCTGCAGCTATGATGCTGACTACTCGCCCACGGCCGAGGCGGATGAGATGAGCTGCGTGGCCGAGACTTGGTTAGAGAGAGTCTCTTGATCCTGTGCGTTGGTGAAGATGAGAGCTGTTTGGCGGTCTCGATAACAAGAGTGTGCTGGTAGCCAGTCCATCAGTCCAGCAAACGGCCTCACACTCCATACATGCAGTCGAAGGCGGAAGACCACGATTGCGAATAGGGTGACGAGTTGGAACCTGTTTCTTAGTCAGGGACGGGGGCCATGTGCCAGATTCGGATCCGGAAGAAAGAAAGCTGGTGGTGGTGGTGGTGGAAGTGGTGGTTGAGTCGAGGACGGAGCTACACCGATAGTATGTGCAGCTTGACGCGGCTGGAACGAGACGAGTCTAGGGACGTAACCTTATTGCGCGCGGTTCAACCAGTCACGGTCTTCTTCTGCTCAACGGTCTGACAGTCAACCGGGAGCTCGAACGGAGAGAAGGCTTGATTTTTCGGGTGTCAAAACGGCCGAGAAACGGGAGAACATGTCTAGGCTGATGGGCTGGTTGGTTGGTCCCGTGATGATGTTGGTCTGGTAGGAGAAGCCCAAGGTTGAGGATCTATCCGCGGCCGGTATCGCTACTGGTATCCTGGTGGTGGTAGTTCACGCACACCGGGAGACGATGCAAGGCAATCCGAAAGAGAGGAAAAAAGAGAAAAGAAAACGGAGAGGAAATAGTAGAAGCACCCCTCAAAACACAAGAAAGAGACCAGCCGTTGGTCGCGCGAAGAAAGTGGAAGCGTGTGTAACCATGACTTGTCGCCGTTGCTCGCCGTTGCTGCCCACATATTCGCAGCGCAGAGTGATGTAATCAGAAGGCGGCGAGTACGAAGTAGACCTGAGCATTTTGGAGGACAAAAGGCAGGCACAAGCAAGACTCAGGACACTGGACACAGGAGTGGCAGGCACGAATGCAGTTGGGTTGGGCGGGCCACCACACTTCTTTCTCTCCCACGCAGGTTGCAACTTCTTGCTCAAGGTAAGGAAGGCAGTTGACCCCCCATCCACGATTCTCTCCCCATCCATTCAGAAGCAACGGCACGCCAAGTATCAGTCACCGGCAAGGTTAGGCAAGTACCGAATGAGACCCAGACACATCATGATTGGGCCTGACCGGGAGAGAAAGAGGAGGGGCGTGATCTGAGGTACCTTGGACAATAAGAGGGGGGAGGGGGGTGTGGGTAATGGAATCGAAGGGGAGAGAGGAGGGGAGGGGACTTTCCCTTCCTGCTGGTTCTGGGTTGGGATTTTTTTAGCTGGAGATCCTCTGCAACGACCAAGCTGCCATTCTCTCTAAGGCAAGCACGGCAAGGCAAGGTACCTTGGACACCAAGAGGTACATCCGAAATCCTAGGGACGAATGATGCGCAGATGGGAGAACTGCAACTACACCTCAGGTACCTACCTACTCACCATTCTCATCATCGTGTTCCTAATCCTCCATGGAGTTGAAGGATGTACCCAATGCAGAGAGCAATCAATCAAACAGATGCTGCCTTTATATCTTTTTCAAAAGTCTCTGACAATGATTTTTGGCAGAATGAAATTGACCATTCCCAAGGACAGAGTCTCGCTCTGTTATTTTTTTTCCTCATCTCTCCCACACAATTAAGGTAGCCTCACCTTGCCACTCCACGACGGGGGCGCAAAAGTAACCGTAGAAGCAGCTAGATTAGAACTGGCAGAAAAAAACAAAGGAGAAAAACCGCAGATCTCGTCCGTTTGATGTTCCCAAACTGCCAACACCTTGATTTTCTTTTTTAGGTTGGAGCCGGTTTAGAAGAACCTAATTAATTCAGGTCTCTGACTGATGTCCACGGGCAGCCTTTACACTTTCTCCCCCCCGCCCTGTTACCTTACCTTATCCCATCTCTACGGTCTATTTCGTACGGAGTATTCGAACGGATACCTTGCTTCAGAGCCTCTGACTCTTGACTCTCTGAAATCCAACCAACACCCGACTTGCTTGTTAGTCATCCACGGTTACCAACAAGGCGACCCAACCCTAGCAGTGACCTTATATTTCTGCTACACCTTCTGATCGCGGGGGTTCATACTGCGTGACTTGCTCACTGATCAGTGTGGTGAGGCAGGCAATCTCTCATACTTTTGTGTGACACTTGCTTGTGCTCATCTCGCGGCATTGAGAGAGACTGAAGCACCTTATTTTGGCAAGGTTTCGTAGCAAGCGTCGCGCAAGGCCCAATGGCCGGTCCCCAGTTCAGATGATTGCCAACCGTTGCCTTTGAGGTCCCTTTACTTTTCCCTCCAAATATCCAAACACTGACCCTGTTCACCCGGGCCTGCTCTGATTGTGTCGCTTCGTCAAAGTTCTTGGGTTGGGAAAACCACTCTCAGATGCAGTGCGTGGTGAGATGCACGGCCTGCGCCAACCCCAGAGTCCCCAGATGGAGGAATGAGGGTACGGACCGTCGTCGAGGAAACCCAACATGGACCATCATGGTCCCAGGGCCTGGCCGGATCCCGATCGATCATGGTGGGAAAGTTAGTCACAAATGAGAGAGTGAGAGTGAGAGGGGGAGGGTATGGGGAATTTGGCTGCCTTCTCTGCAATGAGTAATGTGTGACTCGAAGAACGACGAGACGGATCATCTATCTGCACCCTGAGATCACCAAGATTAACTTACTCGGTGAACTAGGGGAATAAGGCGAGTTGCGACATGCAAACATGGCAGATCGAAAGGGCTTCCGTGGACGGCCCCTGGTGTCCGATCATGCCCACCGGCACATTTCCCAACACCTGCTGCAGGTTAACTTACAAGACCAGATTGAAACCGTGATACTCGCCGTGGCCCGAATAACGCCCATTCTGACCCCGGTTCGGAGCGGTAGGAGCCTTGTCGTCCGGGGTTGGTTGACTATGGCAGTATCTGCCGGAGACATGGCATGTTGGACTTGGGAACAAGGTATCAGACCGATGGATTGATGTCGAGGAGGGCGTCGTCGCAGCCTCGGGTGGCTCTACTCTATTTGCTTCACTTTGTCAGTCTTGGAACTGGTCACTTGTCTGTATCAGTACGGGACAATGCTGAGGTGTGGTATGCTCGATAGACAGAGAGGGAGAGGGAGTTTGCAAAGGTGGACGATGTGGCAGTGGTGGGCACTAGCTTGACTGAAATCTGGGACTCACAGGGTGCCCGTGGCCCCGTGCATCCGCGCCCTTGTTATTTTCTCCTCCCGGCACGCATGTACTTCGTCCCGTTTCGCTGCAACGCTTTCCTCATATTGAGATGGATCGATGTGGATGAGCCTAATCCCAACGTCCATTCCTTGGTCCTGGTTCTTGCGGCTTGCCCGCCGCCTTGAACGTCCCCGTTGAACGCTCAAGTTCAACGCAACTCCATCTTGCACAATCCTTTTTTCGCCTCTGATAGAATCCGAATGACTCTTTGGAGATCTACGGATTGCCAGCAGATACACCGCCAGGTCACGTCTCCATACCGCCGCGGTCACTTGGCACAAGCTCAGGTACCTCCTCCTACCTTGTGAGAAGCAGGCCGTCACAGCTTGATAATTTTGGGTCTAGCGCCCCATGTGTGCAATTGAACTAGACAGGGATGACCCTGGAGCACTTTGTGCAGCGTGTCCAGGGAAAAAGCAGCAACTTGAGCCACGAGCCGTGAGCCTCGAGCTTTTTGAGCCTTTTCTCTCTGTCTCTCTCTCTCTCTCTCTCTTTCTCTCTCTCTCTCTCTCTCTCTCCCTTTCTCTCTTAGGTTTGGGTTTTGGTTCCTTGAGAGGGTCCCCGTTCCGTCTCTGCTAGGTGTGCCCTTCCTGACCACAAAGAGACGCGCAGACGTATACATACTCCACGGGCCAATAATGCATGGCTTTTTCCCTGCTGCAGACGCCATGTGAGGTTCTCTAGTGCGTAAAGTGCCGGGAGTCCTTGCGATCAAGATTCTCCCTCACCAATCCTTTGTAGTCTGTAGTCTGTACAGTACGGATATGCAAAGCATCAATGCAAGGGCAGATGTCCCCTGTTAAGTTGCTGTGTTTGCAGCTTCTTCTCAGTATGTACGGAGTAGGCACCTCGGCTTTGTCCCCTACACTGGAATAGGAACGCCAGTGTGACTGGGGCAAGAGGGATAAAGCAACTAGGTAACCGCTGAAATGTGAATCGGGGAATGCGTGGGCGGGAAGGCCTCGGACTTGATGACCATGTTGCTGGGACGTGGGGATCTGGGAGACAAGACGACGGGCGAATAGGAATGACAAGAGTGTGACGGTAGAATGGTTCAACTGGTAGTGGAAGCAGAAAAAGGAACAGGAATGAAAGCCAACTTGCCCACTCGGGAAGCAAGACGAGAGAGAAGGGGATAAGAAGAAATGAGGCAAAGACAAATGAGGCCCGTAATAGCAAAAAGGTAGGTAGACGGGTGGCCTGCATCTACGAATACACTCAGGTATTCCAACACTAGGCCTAGGTATCCGTTCGTACTTTGTAGAGGGGGAGGAACTCGCCAGTGGGCCAATGTCTTGCCATGGCTGGACTCGAGAGAGACATTGGATTGTGTCGACGGAAAGAGTGCTGGTTCTGCGAGGCTTCAAGAATGCGCGGCGTAACCATTGAAAGCTGGAGAAGTTGACTCCCACTCATGAGCGCCCGGCACAGAAATGGAGCGGAATGTAGAAAGGGTCTGTTGGTAACCGGTATTCGTACGAAGAATAGCCAGTAGCTGGAGCGAGATGAAGAATCGGGGACGTCGAAATTCCTCTACATTCCTCTGCCTTTTTGCATCGCGGATTGCCCGGGGCAGGTCCCTGGTAATTGGGAACAGACGAGGTGCCGTGGACGGTGGCGTAGCCGTGCCGGTCCTTACCGGCTTGCCTTGCCCTGCTCACCGGGTGATGTAAATCACTGGCGAGCTCGACGCGTGACCAGGGGTTTCGAGAGATGGCCATGGCCATGGGATTTGCTCCTCCACGATCTGCTGGCGAGGGCTCATGGTGATCGTCACGTCGCAATGTGGTCTGCCAGTGTGGTGAATTGATGGTGGATATTCGATAAGTGGCTCGTCCAGGCTGAGGAGCTGAAGGGAGATGAAGAGTAATACTCTATATTCGTAAACTAATCATGGCCGCCCCCGAAGCTGGAAACCTTTTGGAATTGCCTCTGAGGGGAGGGGAGACAGAAAGAGAGGGCCAAGGCAAGGCCAAGGCAGGGTACATCAGACATACGGGGTCCGGTATCGAGGTTGGCTCTGACCCTGGCCCCCCGGCACTGACCCCTTCGGTCTGTCTGTACTTTGTACCGTCGTCGGTTGGCACGGAGTGGAAGAAGCTCCCAAAGGTTAGATGAAGCAGATGAGGCGAGGACACCACCACACTCGCATCATGTCGTTCGTCAACCTCGTTCGTTTCCGAGGAGTTATTCTGGTATGCCTTCGAGTGTGCGGTACGTAGGTTGGGTATAAGGTACAGATGTACAGGGCAGATATCCGTAGACTGTGTAAGGTATGAACCACATTCGTTTTGGCCGGTTGTCAATTGCTTACCCGGAGGGCCTGGGCTCGAGCTTCGAGGTACCTTACACAGGTGAACACGGTCTAGAGTTGGCTACCAGGTTGTATCGTGTTAGCACCCATGATACCGTCAAGAGTCTGGCGGACCACGTTGACCGCTTCCCACACCGCTGCGCTGATAGATAGACTGGTACATGTTGACCGAATGCTGGCCTCTTCCTTCGCACGTATCTCAGCAACTGGAGATGTCGTCGCGAGAACATATGGCTCCGAACCAGGTTCAATGAGTAAGAGGAACGGACGGTGAGAATGACAAGATTGGTAGAGTGGTAGGTAGAGTGGCAGAGAAGGGCTGCTGGTGGCATTATGGACGAGTGAGAGGCAGACAGAGAATGTGCGTGTGTCTAAGGTATCTTGACCGCACCCCCCTGTCACTAATACCACATCAGCCCCCCCTCCCCTCTCACAGTCGACGTCCCAGTCCCTGCCCTGTCTGGTCCAGGTCCTGTCTGGTTTTCCCCTCCTGGTGCCAGAGTGCCAGATTCTGCAGATAGGTGAGGTATCCGTACCGTAGTCCTTTCCAAGGCGCGAGGGCGGGAACTATGAGAGGAAGAAAAAAAAATCACCAACCGCCCGCCAAAAGGCAAGGAAAGAAAAGGAAAGGAAGGAGAAGAGGACCCCATTTTCGCCAGGTGCCCACTTTAGCCCGCCTGGCTTCCCTTCCCTTTCCCTTTCCCTTCCCTTCCCTTCCTTCCTTCCCCCTACCTCTATACGGAGTGGAGTACCTTGCTCGTCTTTCCTCGTCCATGTTTCCCCCCCTTCCGCCCTTCCCAGTCCCGCCAGTCTTGTCAGTCTTGCCAGTCTTGCCAGTCTTGTCCAAATTCTGATGCCAATGCAGTCAGTGTTGGCGAGCAGGCGCATGCTGGTTGGCAGGTCGTGATGGACCACAAAAAACGGGTTGCGGCGGCTGTCTTTACATGCCGGTATTGCTGTGCAGCGCTTGGTGTGAAGTTTGTACATTTTCGTCCCAAGGTACCTTCCATACCATACTGCCCAAAGGTACGGGCTCCCTATCCACCCGGCCTTACCTCAAGTTCAACTTACACCGAAGACCAAGACCATCCTCTCTCTCTCTCTCTCTCTCTCTCACCGGGACGAACACACCAACAGCCCATTTCGGGTTTTCCAAACACAGGTACGGATAGAGACTTATATGAAATTATCACCT